CTCGCATGATGACGACCGTGATGAAGAGCGACAGAAATCCTTGTGTGGTGAGAAGATACATGTTATCGATGCTTTTCCTTCTTCTTTCCCTTTCTTCTCTCTCCTTCTTCTTCCTCCTCCTCCTGCTCCTCTTCTTTCTTCTCCCTACGTCCTCCTCTTCTTTATTTCCCCTATTTTTTTCCCCTCGGCGTCTCTCTCTCTCTCTCTCTCTCTTTGACACGCTCCGGCTTTTCCCTCACTTTTATAACCACTTGTTGAACACTCCCCCCCTCCTCTTGCCTCACTCTCGGTACAAGTGAGCGATAGAGAGGAGAGAGAAAGAGAGAGAGAGAGAGGTAGAGAGAGAAAGAGAGATGAAGAGAGTGGGATTTTGTGAGATTCAATTGCTTATTATAATTACTTCACTTTCTTTTCTCTCTTTCTCTGATTTTTTTTTAAGGCACTACTCTCTTTTATCCTTTTTTTTTCTAGCGTTTTCGTCCAATTTACCAAATCAACGACGAGAGAATAGACACTTTTATATATTCCTATGACTTCTCCTTATCCTCTTGTATTCTGATCTCCCTCCTCTCTTTCCTTCTCTCCAAAACGTTAGACAAATCGAGTAATATCTCACACTCAATCTCACTGCTACTCCGACCTTTACGACACGGGAGTTTGAGGACGACTACCACACTCCGCGTACGACACTTTGTACAAGTTTAAAACACGTCGATGCCAGACGCACGAATCCCCCACATGGACCACTCCGCTGCACATGAATATAAAAGTAACTATTAAATTATTCATAAGGTCGCTTATAGTAGTAACTTTTTTTGTAGTTGTTAAGAGTGGAGGGTAGTGGTACATGAGACTTTGGTATTTTTGGTGTAGATGATAAAGACATTTTGTTATAAATATGTCCGTAGTTTGAATATGATTCCTAGGGAAGTTTTGGAAGTTTTTTTGTTTCTCTCTCTCTCTCTCTCTGATAGGATGTGGAAAATTGTACTTTTCAACAGATGTCGATGATACTGATTAATGACGCCCTTTGAAAAAAAAGTATATCTTTATAGATTAATTCAGCAACCGATCTAAACTACTCCCCCCCCCCTCTTTGCAGCACGTGTTAGCCCCCCCCCCCCCTCTCCTCCTCCTCCCCCCACCCTCCACATTCACGTGAAAAGCGATATGAATTTCACGCCAAAAGTACTGAAAACAAAATGGACTTCGGTCACGCACTTGGATTGGCAGATCGAAAAGGAAAGAAGGGGGGGGGGTAGAAAAAAAGGGGAGGGGGGTGGAGGTAATGGTATTTTGCTTTCTCTCTCCTTTTCTCCCTTTCTCTCTTTTATTTATTCTTTCGCTTGCTTCTTTTTTTTCGTATTTCTTTTCTCCTTTTTTTTCTTCTCTTTTTTTCTTTTGCTTCTCTCTCTCTCTGTCCTTATTTCTATTTTTTCTTCCTTCTCATTCCTTTATTCACTGATCCATTCTCCTTTTTTCTCATGCCCTTTTCATCGCTCCTTCTCTGTTCTCTCTTCTACCTATTACTCCTCCCCCCCCCCCTATCGTTCCCTTTCCTCCCTCCCCTTTCTCTTCTCTTCCAACTTCTCTTTCTTTTCTTCTTTCCCCAGTTTTCCTCTTGTCTCTTCTTCCCTTTCCTCCCTCGTTCCTTGCCACTCCCTCTTTCAATCCCCATCGTTTCTAACCCCTTCACACTTCCCCCCCCTCCCTGCCCCCCCACCTTCCTTACCTCCCCCTCCTCACCCCCTCACATTCCCTTCTCCTCATCCCTCCCCCTTCCCTCCTTCCCCCATCAAACACTTCCCTCCTTCACTCTCTCCCCCTCTTCCACCCCCTTCGCCCTCTTCCCCCCACCACACTTCCCCCTCTTCACTCTCTCCCCCTCCCCCGTTTACTCCTTCCCCTTCCTCCCCCTACCTCCCCCTCCTCCCCCTCCCCCTTCCTTACCCCTCCTCCTCCTTCCCTTTCCCTTCCCCCTTCCCCCCCTCCTCCCCTCCCCCTTCCTCTCCTCACCCCCTCACGATTCCCCCTCCTCAACCCCCCCCCCTCTCCCCGGCATATCACAGCGTCAGCCACAGTCACCTAAATTATTCCTTAATACTAAATTTCTTAAGGGTGAGTTTGGCGTGAACATGACATTTTCCTCTTTAAGATATTCGATGTGTTTACTGTGAAACGCTGTTATATGCTTTTTCTCTTTGATTATTTTTCACTGCTCAATGAAAAAAAAAAAAATGGTATGGGAAGTTGATTATATATGTGTTGTGAAGTTGTGTGTATTTGTATGTGTATATATATGCAGGTGGGCAGACAGTTATGCACATATACACGCATATACATAAACACGCTGACATAAACACATAAACACATACACACACGCATAAACACATAAACACATACACACACGCGCATAAACACATACACACACACACACACATAAACACACACACACACACACACACACACACATAAACACACATAAACACACATAAACACA